CTCTTTTACTAATAAGAATCTTCTTTATCGGCATATATTCCCTTGGGCAGTAGTTCTCTTGAGCAGGAAATGCTGTGTCTTACTCTTCTTTTTTTTTCTTCTTTTTTTTTCTGTTCTCACTCTTTTTCTCTGATCCATTTTTGCAGAGAGCTGTTACTGTTCAATGCAGCTTCAATACAGTTTTTGAACTCTGCAGAATGCTTGTGATATACCTGGAAGACAATTTCAAGTACTTAAGGACCCACATAACTAAACTTGTATTTTCTCTCCTATTTTGACCTTCTTTTTTGTAAAATGATGCATAACATGTGTTTTGATTAAAGATGGACTCTCTGAAACATTTCATTAGACACATAAACCTTGTCTGCATGGTATACATGACTTAAAAATATACATAACTCCTTCATTCAGTGAATTTGAAAATTGCTATAGTATTCATAATAAAATCCTTGAATCTATAATCTACCTCCTAACAAGCTTATAAGTAATTTCTGAGTCTTTCTTGATAGCCCCTGTTCAGGTACAGTTTGTGCAGTGACTCAGGTTTTTATATTGTTGATTTAGAAGAATGAAAATACCAGCTCTAAGTTGCTCAAGGAAGTTTCATGCTGCACCACTACATCTCTGTATCAGGCATTTCAATTCATTACCTTTTTCTTAGTTTGCTTCTCCCTGTACAGGTTTGATCTAACAGTATAGGAAAAGGGTGTGGAACACACTGTAGAGCAGTAAAAAAAGATTTCTCAATCTTTGCCACTCAGACTTCAGCCTAGGCTTCACAGGATATTTGACCACATTATTAAAGCTACCTTGTTCCAATCAGTCCCTTAGCACATTGATTTGGTTTTCTGAGTTCTTGTAAAAATAAGCAGTTTGCTTCCCCGTATTTCTTTTCATGAAATGCAATTTCTTTTTCAGGATTATTGATCCTCCAAGAACATGAAGAAATGCAGTATCATTCTGTTTGTACTTCACATCTCTGTGTGTGATGCAGCTACTTTTCTTTTACTAGACTGCAAAAAAGCATGCAGGAGTAGAATGCTTCCAGTGGCTTTTCTGCTAAATCTAACAGCTATTTTACTGCAGATTAAATTAACCAGTTTTGAATACTCTGTCTAATTTTAAGAGCCTGTAATCAAGTTGCCATATTTTATAGTTATACTTGAAATATGCTTATGGTTATCACTGAAAAGAAAACATTAGCTTGTTATTTTCAATAGACATTTTCTTAAATGCCAATAGAGTTTGTTTATAAATCAACAATAATAGTAAAAAAAGTTTTTCTTTCTTTTGATAGCTTAACTTCTCTTGAAAGGCAAAGATAAACTGTGCTCCTTATAGATAAGCTGTAGTTCTTGTTGGAATACTTTCCCTGAGTTTTTTCAGTAGCTCAGCATTCCTAAGTTCAAGAAATTGGATAATCAGTAAAATAAAAACTTCTCACTGTATTAATGATGTGAGAAATGAAACCAAGTTGCAGGAATGTTTGGTTTCACAAAGTGATTTGACCTTTTACTGAATCTACATCCTGGTGGTTTGAGGCCACTCGGGCAGCTTACTGATATCAGGTTTTGGCCCCAGTTGTCAATCTTTATGAAGTGCTCCAGTGTCTGAAATGACTCCCCTTGGGTTCTGGATTGATAACTTAATGGGACAATTCATGATTCCTTTGAGGAAAAGGTTACAGTAGCTTTTCACTTGAACCACCATGGCAAAATTCTCCCCAAGGTAAATTAGAGCATATTTGAGGGAGCAAGGAGGAGCTTCATGCTGGAAGATGCTTGAAGGCTTGCTTTCCATTACCACTTTCTGCATACCTGCATCTGAGATTAAGTTCTGTGGAATTAGTACTTTCCCACTGTAAGTTTGGAATTCCCGAGTTCAAGTCCAGTAGTTGATCCAAGCTGGCTCCTGAACGTGCAGTAAAGGAGGAGTTGTTGCAGCACTGTTGATTTGTTACCAGCAGGATTCAGTATTGCCATGGGTCTGTGGTGAAAGGACTGGATCTTTACAGGGATGTAAGGAGAGATTAACCACACTGGGTGAACTTCTGTGCCGGTGTAAAAGGCACATTGCAATTTACTTAAGCTCTTTTTGAGTTGATGCTACTTAAACCTCTGTCTCTGTATACTGAAACCAGCACAACGAGACCCAAGTGTACACTTAAACTTTCCTTTGAGGGCTGTACTGGCTGATACAGAGCAAAAGCTTGTAGCAGGCTTAGCTTCTGCTCAGCTTCTATTAAAGTCCTTGTACCTTGATTCATTTCCTGGCATCACAGTTTCCATATGCACCGGTTGCATAGCTTGTGCACTGTGTAATGCCACAGAATGCCACTACTGAGTTACTCAAAACATGCCTAGGAACACTTTTTACACACTGAGATATTGACATGTACGTGGCCACTTCTAGAGCAAAGAAAACTGTGAACCTTATAAATGGAGATAATAAAATTATTTTTTAAAAAGCTGTACTTGAAAAATAGTATTGTAGTTTAACTACATGTGGAAAACTGGTCTACATGAATTTTGCATTTTTTAGGCTTAAGAAGGGGGTTAGATGGAGATCTGGAGAATCTGTTTTCTCATTATTTGGGGTTTAAAAAAATGTTAAGTAGCAGGGGTTCTTTTTTCCCCTTCATTTGAAGTGCAAGTTTCCTTCATCGCATGTACTTAAAAAATGGATTTATTTTCCCCATCGACCATTAGTACTCTGGTTTGTTTGAATTGTCTTGGGCTCTATTTGGACTCTCATTTCTACCTCAAGTCTGTTCTACCTTTGAGTGTTGTTCGTGGCTGATATGGCAAGCTTGAACTCCATTGCCTACTATCAATATACATTTTTATGTTTGTTTATCCAAATCTAAAAACACAAAAAAGCCCCCTCACTGTATACATTCCTGATGTACAACTCAGATTTCACACTATTGATTTCCATGTGCATTATGAAAAGAGTTTTTTAATGAAGGTGTACTCTTGCCCTTTGTCGAGCTACAGAATATTTTTAAGTATGCCACCCACCTTATTCTTTAACTAAAATTTGACATTTAATTAAAAAGGGTGCTGATGCAATATTGTAGTTTGGAAGAAATTACTGCAGGAACCTTACAGTGCCTACCTTGACTTTACTATGGGGATCAAGCCCATTGCTCAGGATAAAGATGTTTGTCCAGGCCACAAAAATGCAAAATTAAAACATTATCATTTTTTATTTTGGACTGTCCAGCTCTGTCATCCTTACATTTGACAGAGAAAGAAATCTGTCAAATGTTATTTTCATACTTCTTTTTCTTTTGCTAATATATTCCCACTTGTCTTGGTGTGTGCCTCAGTGCAGTGCTAACCGTTGTCCACTTTACTATGATATTCAGGTCTTTATTTCCTTTATTAAAATTTATTTAGGATGTCATGGGAATCTCTCAATCTAAGTATGCATAATTTGGGTTTGGTGTTGTGGGATTTCAGTTATGTGTGAGGAGGGCTTTCTGTATCTCCTGCTGTGCTTGTAAAAAATCATGATTTCTGTCTTAATCCAGACTTCTGAATAGCTTTTGCTGTTTTACGCCAAAGATTTCATTTTCAAGGATGCAATTTCATCATTGAAGACTTGAAATTTTTTGAGACACATTACACGTAAGCTTTACCTCATGCATTCCTTCCCATCCCACAAAGTGTTTTTCTGAAACTTTTTCAGTTCCTATAACCTAATTTTTATTTTTATTAAACCAGTTAGGAAATGTCCTTATTTGCTAAACTCCTTGACTTCTTGAATTGACTAGAAGAGAACCCACTCATCCTGCTCCACCCACCTGACAAGCCCGGATGGATTTTTTTTTTTTTTCTGTACAATTAAGTCGGACTTGATGAAGTCCCTGAATGGTGTATGTGCAGTTGTGCTGAATCTTTGTTATAATCAGCTAATAATAGGTTCTAGTTCATCTTGTACCTTTCTGTTGGGTTGCTCATTACCTATTTATGAAAACAGATGGTTTGAAGCATTGATTTCATGCCCTCAGAAGGCCAGTAGTTCATCTTTTTCTTTGTCACAACAAAGTTTCCACAAGGTTCCTCTTTCTTCTTGTTTTGTTTTTTTTTTCCTGATGAGGCTTTTTCAAGGGAACTCAGGATGTCTGTAATGATTCAGAGTTTTTTTACTGAAGGTCTGACTCTGCCCATGTTGCACAAGCTTTGAATTTACAGAAAATGAAAGTAGCACATTAAGAAACTGGATAACCCACGAATGTCCAGCAATTTGTCCTGGTCTACAGATTTTTTTTTCCCTTGTGATTATTTGCACCAGAATTATCTTCCATATTTTTGCTAATATAGCCAATATATTATTGGAATAACATATTTGGCTTGATTATTCTAAATATTTGTGTAGGAATCTCATCTAAGGCTGTCATTATACCTCCCAAAAAAGGCTAGTCAGGATAAACAAATGAAAATATTACGGAAAAAATATAAGTTTGAAACTTTACATTATCTCAGTGGTCTGTTAGAATGTAGGAAAGCTGAACAGAGAAAGGCAGCAAATAAATCTTAATTTAGGCAACTTTTAAAATTCTGTCTTGTGAAATGTCCAGTAAGTCCATGGTAACTGCTGTCATTTCATAATTAAGCTGCTTCTTTCAGTCTCAAGTCATATGTTGAGTCCAAAGTGTAGGATACAACTTTTCCCACTGTTAAAATAACAGCCTAAGTTGGAAACTATTAAGTGATAAAAGCTGCAGAAAGAAGTATCACATTCCTCTGAAATCCAGAGGAAAATGTTATTGAAAAAATTTATTCTTTGTTTTGTCAGGCAGACCCAATAATAGAATTAATCATAAAATCACAGAATAGTTTGGGTTGAATGGGATTCTAAGGCTCATCTCATTCCAACCCTCTTGCAGGGACCCCTTCCACTGGACCAGGTTGTTCAGAGCCCCATCCAGCCTGGCCTTGGGCCCTTCCAGCCCCTGTTGAAGTGAAGGCTGATGTGTTTTGGTGTCCCCCTGCATGCACGTGGCTCAGGTACACATTTCCCCACTTCAGGCACTGGAGCACAGGTGTAAGGCTGGGATGGGATACCATGCTCTGTTGGACCCTCATGGTTGTAGCTTACACAGCAAATGAACTGCTCAGAGTGTGAAATGTGCTAAGACAATGCCTTAAATAGTTATTTGCAGGTTATCTGTCAAAGCCTGGCTGTTACAAAGATAAATCAATGTAGCCCAGTGATAGAGTTGAAAAGAGAAAGGCTTTTTGTATCAACTTTTAAGATGTGTTTGCCAGCACATTTCCCCTGTGAGTTGAAAGGAATGAGTATTTTCATAATATTAGAAAATCTATTCCTCTGTCTCTTTGTCTCTTTTTCTCTTCATTAGGTTTGACTAAACAGTAAAGAAATCCATCCATCTGTGGTAGTGTCAGTAAAGTGGTCTGTGTTTTCCTCTCTGCTGGTACTACAGTACTGTTTCAAGATCATTTACATTCTGCTCAGAGCTGTGCGTGATCTTTTTGGCAGCTTTGTGCATTTACATTAACTGCTGGATTGTAATAATTTTCAAATAGATTGTCTGAAAGTAGAGGGGTTTTGGTATATATTTATAGATGAATATTCCTGTCTGTGGGTTTATTTTATGTCTTGTACATTTACCTAACTAGTACAAACGTGGCTCTAGGAAGAATCTTGTTAGATCAAAATGCAGAGCTTTTCACTGTCACCATTCTAGAGATGGACAATATTGCCTATTGAATTTCCTTTTTGATTCTGGAAACCATTTGGATTTAGAAGGCTATTTAGGAGGTATTTTTTAGAGGGTTTTTTTGTTTTTTTGTTGGGCTGGGGGTTTTTTTGGTTGTTTTTTTTTTTTTTTTTTTTTTGAGGAAGAAGGAAGGAAGCCTTGGTGTTTAGATTATATTGTTTATAGTGTGTTTGTATTATTGAAACACATGAGAACTAACCTAAATAGTAATCTAATGTTTTTGAGTGGACCTTGGAAGTCTGATTTAACTGCCTTGTAGATCTTATCCCTGTTTTTCAGATAATGTTTGACAAATATGTGGATATTTTGTTGTACAGAGGTGGTGTTTTCAATTTACATTAATGTCCATCTAATGTGTGGAGAAGCTTTTAGTTGATACACAGCAAGATTTTCTGCTAGAAGGAACATTTTGTTGTCTCTTCCATCCATACAACTATGAATGGCAAAGAGATTTGTGAATGCTAAGTTTTATATGACCTTTTCAGAGAGCAGTTACCAAAGTGGACCCAGTTCTGCTTGTTTTTGGAAAAGCTTTTCATTTAATGACAGTGCTTCAGTTTAAACTATGTGTTCTAAGAACTGGTTTGTGTTCCCAGCACTGCAGGGGAAAAAGCTCAACGTGCATGTTTGAGAAAATGCCAAAGAGTACATGCAGGGGAATTCCAGGACTGGTGAAAATTTGAGGAGAAGGTATTTAACATAATTACATAGCTTCAGATTGTATAAACCTTGTACAGTTCAGACAAGTGCAAAGTTACCTCACCAGGCTTACTCGGTTTTTTTGGTTTTTTTTAATTGATTTGAAAAGCTAGAGAGGGACTGGATTTCTTAAACTGAGAAAGTTCAGAAAACTGGTAGTTTTCTGCCTAGTGGTAGGCAGGTGAGGTAAATAACCTTCTGATATGATTCAGACTGAAAAATATAAGACTAAATCCATGACAATGCAAATATAATCTTATTTTTGAGTTACATAAGACTGTTAAAAGTAGGTCATTAGTGTTGGGGAAAAACATGTTTTAATTTTATAGGCTTCTTTTTTTGCCCCCTCCCCTTCCCACACTAGAGAGAATGCTTTCCTCTAGGGACAAAGCTGGGATGAAGCTAAATATATCACTCATCTAATTTATTCTCCATCATGTTGCTTCAGTGGTAATCACTTGTTTGAGATTCACCTTCAGAGATTCTGCCTGACATATGGTGATGTGCATAATGAATATATGCAAGCATATAGCAGTTTCAAATTCATTCTTTATTGCACTTACGTTTTAGTTCACAAAGTGCTGTAGTAATTAAAGAGATTTGGTAAGCATTAATCTATGCACTTATGGGAAATTTCACCTTAATTATTTATTATTTGTGTGAGATTAAAAAAAAAACAGTTTAAGACTTGCCTTGAGAACTGGACTTCTCTTGTTTCCTAATTTCAAATGATGTACAGGCAGATTAAGTTTCTGATTTTTGAAAGTACCACCACTTTCAGGGGAGGATAAGAAGTTGGTTGTTTGAGAAGTGTGACCTGGATAGCTTAGAGATTTTGGCTGGTGTTCAGTTTGGGGGTTTTGGGAGGTTGTTTTCTTTAGGGTTGTAGGGGTTTTTTGGAATGGGGTGGGGAATGTTTTGTTGTTTGGGTTTTTTCAGCTACAAAGAGATCTCAGATAGAAAGTGAATGACTTCAGCAGCACCTTAGAAATGAGATATACAAAGGGAGGTACACCTAGGTGTTCTCTAGACATCCAAGAATGTAAACATCAAAAACTAACGCTCTCACAAACTCTATTTATACTGTGTTGTGGGTAATTGGTGAAAGGACTGAATTGTTTTCCATTCATAATGTGAACCATGTGATGGTGATGATGAGCAAGAACAGCAACTGCTTTGCTTTGGTACTCCTGACTGTCAAAGTTTTCATAACTGGTTGCCAGCAATGCCCACAAAATCCAACTTGCAGCTTCTGATGATTGAGATAATTTACTTTGAATTTCCATTCAGTGGCTAAGTCCTCTTAATCCAACCTCTTGTTCATCCTGTGTTTAAGATTCTTTATAGGAGTTGACAGTAAAATTTTTCAGTTCATGCTGAAAATTACATGTTGGCAAATAAACAGGTAGCCATTATAGCACATCAAATCAGCATCTATTCAAGCTTTGTGCAGAGCCTTTGATCAAGTACTTGATAATAAGTCATGATGTCAGTCAGTGTGCTGAACCAGAAGAGGACAACAGGATGACTGTATGACAGATTCCTGCAATCTTGATGGAAAGGCCAGTCTACACAGCCTGAACTATGCTAATCAAACGAGCAAGAGCAGATTTGTAGCTGAAATAGCAAATTAATTATTGCCCTATTTAGTTTGCAGTAATGTCTAGGGGACACTGAGGTTAGTTCCATGGGCAGATGTGAGGGGCCAGTGACTTCTGGTTGGAGAAGGAGAAGTCTGCTGGCACAGATGGAGTCAGAGTAGCTCGTGTCTTCCCCACTTAAGCCTGCCACACTGAGATTTAAGCCATGCATACTGAGTCACGTGTCCCACGTCATTTCCATTTGTCAAATCACAAAACCATTTTCCCTGTCACTCTCTCCACTATTTTCACTTCACTGTGATAGTTTCTCATAACAAAAACGGCTGCTGGTAAGTATGAGATTTCTGTGTTTTCTAAATTATTCTTCATGATCAGAAAGAGACTAAAAATTTGCTCATACTATATTGTAAAGCACTATTTTGAAGAACAAAAGAGCAAAAGCTTTGGATGAGTGACAAGCAGTAATTCCCTGATATTTGTTGAGCTGTAGAATATTGGGGTGCACAGAGAAAGGGAAAAGAAGGGATGAAAGCACATCCTAATTTGAGTTTAGGAAGCTCAGGTCCTTCCATAGTCAATAGAGATGATGAGGCTTTTGGGGCTGCTGCTTTGAATCACTGTTTAAAAGCTAAGCATCTCTTTGCTACCGAAAGATACAATTTCTTCTTTTCATTTTCACCAGCTCTGATACCTATCTGGCCCATCTGTTAGACAGCTTGGTTTGTGAAACAAGCAGAAAGCTAATGTAAGAAAAAGGCTTCTTTTGTTTTCACGATCTCAGTCAGCTCATGGAGGGATCTGTTGATTTGGCACATGTAGCACAAAGGGGGTGTCAGACTGAGAGGTTTGGAGCAGTAGGGTAAGTGCACTGAGATGAGGCTGTTCCTCAGCTGGGAGCTGCTGGCTCAGCTCAGCCTCTGCTGTGCCTGGACCCTCCCCTGTGGTCCAGAGCCCTCCAAGGGTCCCAGATGTCCTCACTGACTAGAGTGACAAAATGACCCACTGCTTCCCCTTCTGCTCTGGTGGCAATGATGGCTGCTGTTGTCATCTTTGAATGTTAACTTTTCCTTCCTCTTCTTTCATCTTGTGTTACCATGATATTTTTTCTTCCTTTTTATTTGAAATATAAAGTATTTAAAATAAAATATTTGAAATGTAGAAGTCATAGTAAATCTTTGTACCTTGTTAGGTATATCGTCAGTAACTAAATGATGGAAGGGTTTCTGTGGCAAATAAAACTGACTTTGCCTTCTCGATTGTAAGGTATGTCCAGAATTTCTGCTTTATGGCTGTGCTCAAGAACAACAAACTTAAAATGTGCTGCTTGGTGAGATTGTCCTGCCACACCTGTAACCATGTCAGAGTTCAGTGCCAAACCTAGTGAAGCTCCCTTTCACTTGCATCATCACATCTGGGTACTTCACCTTTTGGCAAGCAGTCAAAACCTGGTTTAGCCCTTTGCAGGCATTAAGCCCTGCTCTTAGACACCGTAGCTCCAAAGACTGTGTCCAGTGTATGGTGTGAAATTAATCAAAAGGAAACAAAATTAATGACCTGCTGTGGTGCCATCCATCACGATATCGCTCAGCAGGTGTGAAATTAACTTGCCTTGCCTGTGGATTAAATTGAATGGCGTGACGTGAGGCTACAGGAGCTGTGTCTGCTGATACTGGGGAGCAAGTGTTTCTAAAGATTCCGGCTTAATGAACTGCTTGTGCCATGCACTGGATAGTCTTATGATCATTTAACAGCATGAGTTTAGATTATGCTCCCTAAGAAGATCAAGTATTACTGTATCAGTAAAAATTGTTAAAGGCAGGCCACAGAAATGTGGTTTTAATTTCTGTAATTACTGTGCACCAGATGGTGTATATATACTTTTTTCCAGCATAAGTACTTCAGCTCAAATATAAGCAGTTGTGATCTTTATTTACAATTCATCAGATTTTAACCTAGGTGATAACGATTCCTTTGTTATGGCCCATTATGATGACCTTCAAAGAAGTATGTAGACAAAACCTCACTATTGTTTGTTATGGTTACAAAAAAAGCCTTTCTTCTTGGGTTTGTTTGGCTTTTGTTTTTTCTCCCAGATCTTAGTTATGGTGATAGCAAAAATACCCACTAATATTCACTACCCACTCACTTTGTTCTGGAATAAGTTACCTAATATTAAAAATATGTACTTTTAACACTTGGTAAATGCTAGTTAATCTAAGAGCAATACTACAAAGATGGAAAATACATTAAAGGTTAGTAACAATTTGAGAGAAATGAGGAAAATGAAGGAAATTTATTTCCCAATTTGAATCTAAAGATATTCTACCAACTGCTTTTTTCTGTCCAGTCCTATTTGCTGATGTGTATGCACTTTTTCCTCCATAGCTGCTCTGATAACTGTTTTTCAAAGGACCTGTTATCATTGCTGTGGAAGCTCTCTTTGACTTCCAAGTTCTTACTGGATTTTTGCTTTGTATGCCCAGAATATTGTCCTCTAAAACATTCAGAGTCATCTCAGCCCTTTGGAGAATGCCTGGTGGTTTTGCCCTTGGCAGAAAATGTCATGTATGGGTTTGTTGGGGTTTTTTTGTGTGCCTGCCCTCCCCCTTAAATTTTGAATATACATTTCCAAGAGTTAAGGAATTTTCATGTTTGTGATTAGGAGGAGGACTTAGTTATGACTTGCATGGCAGCTTTCTTTGAAGTAGGATTGGCATGCAGCCATTAATACATTTTCAGGATAATGTGTCCACAGTATATTGACATACACTTGATAAACTGATCTTTATACGTTGATTCATTTGACCTCTTATTAAGGGCTGTCTGTACTTTATACAAGCAGTACCGTTTTGTTAAAATACTGTTGATAAGAAAGATATTAGGCTGGTGAAAGTTACTTAATCTTTACGATTGTTGTAACGAAGTACTGTGGATTTTGTGTCAGAAGATAATTCTGACATTAGCATTACTGAGGTTGTTTTGGTTCATAACAAATGTGGTGTAACTACTGAGAAATGTTGGGATTGTTTTAGTTACTTCAGGTGCTGTGTCACTGGCAGGACTTTCTTCAAGGACAAACACATAAGTAGTAGCTCTAGATTAATGGGATCAGTACTGTTGGAACTGAGGAGCTCTGTAGGCCTTTTGGGTAGAGCTGACAAGATATTTTAGAAGTTTTTCTTTCCTTGATGAAAAGAAACATCAGCCTTTGTACCCCATTTCAAAGTGAGGTAAGCAATTCATGGAGGCCTCCTGCTTTGTAACATTATAAGTATTAACAAAGTCCATCAAGCTCTTAACAGAGAACAAAGGTTATGTGGTTACTCTGTCAGTCATATTTCAGTTGGGGCTTTCAATTGCTTTCTTTCCTGCATTAGCAAATTATTATGT